CTGGAATGATTTCGGAATGGCAAGGCGTAGCCGCGCCAAATTTTGCATAGCTATAGACAACGAAATAGCGGATCATCTGGTATGAAACATTTAGATGCAATATGTAAGGTCACTAACCTATGACAGGTCAAAGTTAGGTCATGGTTTCATCGAAGGCAATTTTTTTCGGGAATCGTTCAGTCTGATCCAACAACGGAGTATTAGGCGAAGCCATACACCTCTGAGATACTTTCTTAAGATACACAACAATTGAACAAGCAAATGAAATTGAACTAGGGTCAGGTGTTGAGGTCAGACCACGGTCAGAACAACCGTTTTTATTACTCTAGGGCTTGCTGTATGGTGTAGTTTCTGGTGCTCATCTCAAATTTGTTGATAACAGAAACCCCATTTTGCACCTTCCATGGGCTTCTTAAATGTCAGAATAAGTCACTGATCTAAAATGACCGGGGTCAACACTTGGTTTTTAGCAGCAGACTGCCTAGCGCAATCTTTGCCGCTTATCCAAATGCAAAACTCAAAGCAGTCTTGTATGATTTTAACCGCCATGACTTTCACAAGGTCACAAGGCCATTGATCTCAAATGAGCATGTGATCTTTTGATTGGTACAGTCACCTAGGTTCCAGAGGCCCTTGGAGACCATCCTGGAATTTGACCTTGTTTGACCTCATTTAATCCAGAGATCATGACCTAGAAACCTCAAACGTCAACCTAAGTGAGTTCACGTACAGGTTAACACATCCTGTGAATTTGGCATCTCTAGCTCTCTTGTTCCTGAGGTCTCAGCGGATGAGATCATCTGCCCCCCCCCCCTCCCCCCCTCCCACTCGAGCGAAGGGTATAGAACCGGCCACCCGGGCGCGCATTAAATTCATAAACACCGCTGTTTTTCAGGAAAATCCGTTGAAGCCCAGGATTGCATCAGTAGCATTCATTGCCCCTCGGGCACTCAAGCTTCAAGATAGGATATTTCACCTTAGACTTATTTTAGCTTCTTGTTCGTCCAAGCTATGCGTACGCGCAGTTTCGATTTCCCAACGATATGTTTGATTTTCAAAAGCAAGTGCTCATCTGTGTAGGGTAGTGTCAAGAATCCGCCGGTTGACGAGGCGTGTTCCCGTTTCCTAGCATACATCCCCCATGTGCTCTAGATGTTTTGACCTCTTCCAACATGCAACCTAAATGTCGTGGAGAATATCCATTGCCAAACAGCAAGTCCATATTTTTGTGCTCCTCCCGTATTTTTCACTGCTTGATAAGTTGCTTAGAGCCATATGGAGCGTATTTCGAATTATATTGTGTTTAATGGAAGTCGGATGCGCAGATTCGCAGTACAGAATCATACCCGAGTTGGTGGGCTTGATCACAGCTCCGTTTCTAACGTTGTACGATTGTTCCTCTTTTCTACCGTCACTAGTGTATCCAAATGCGGACCCCCTTTCTGTATGGTTCATTGTAAAGGCTGAATTGGGTAAATAAGTTGGCTTAACACTACCTGACATAGATGAACACTTGCTATGGAAAATTCAACATATCCTTACAAATTGAAACCGCGCTTACGGATAGCTTTGAAGAACGATAAGGAGCTAAAGAACTCTCTAGTTAAACATATTATCTCCAAGCATAAGTGTCCGGGGTGCGATAGGTGTCATATATGCATGCGTGAGTTTTATGGGGTTGGCGCGGAAAGAAATATGTCATAGAAATTTAAGCGTAAACTTCGCAAAAAACATGGGAGGTACATAGCCTATGTTGAGAAGTCCATGCATCCTACTCGTTTCACTTGTGTTGAACACCTGCGATGCTAAAAACGAAACAGATAATAAACAAAACTCTTCGGCGACCATCTTTTTTCACAGAGCACGCTAAGGTTAAAATCCAAGGAAGCACGGACCATTTCTTTTTAGTGCTCTAAGGTATCTTCAAAGCACGGGACCATCCAGACAGGAAAAATGGTGAATCTGTTTTTATAAGAAGTTGGCGACCAGACTTCAATGTACCGGAGTCATCATGAACGATTATTTGAATGTGACTAGTGTCTTGATGTGTTATGCATGCTGGCTTAAAATCGTCTTCATGTATCAGTGTTGTCTGACGCTTGATACACAACGTCTGTTTAATTAAAATCGTTTGCATGTAAAAGTGATGCGTGATGCGAGATGTCTGTGTACTTAAAATCGCTTGCGGATGTAAATTATCTGTTATGCGTGATGCCTGTGAACTTGAATTCGTTTGCATATACAGACATTTTTGCCGCATTTTAAATCTCAGTTAGATGTGCACTGTATCGCAGAAATGACCGGCAATTGCTCCTTGTTTAATCCCCTGCATGTTGGTGGTGTGTAAAAACTGTGGCTAGCTATTTTTGAAGGAAAAAACTGAAACGTCGAGTAAAATCGGCAAACAAATTTGAATTTGCTACCGGTATTCTTTCCGATTAGTAAATGTAGCCGACATATCACATTTATCTCTCCATTTTCCTCTTTTTTCTTTGAGAAATAAAGCTATTAATGTTGTTTTATCTATACGCATAGTTTTCCTCACAAATGCACATTACAATTTGCGAAGCGCTGCCATCATGTCGATAATGATGGCGGCATACCCTCTATATAACAGTTTAAACGTAAGGTAAAAATTCTGTCCGGTCACTAAGATCAGTCCAGACAAAAGCCATGCCATAACACCAGGTCGACCTCAGTTACAACTGCGTTGGGAGCTATGACTAACTGCCTAACCTGTAAATGAATCGTGTGCAGGGTTGGTGTGTGGTCGTATATGCAACTGCTGCAACGGGAAGAGCGCTCATTGCAATGGTCGAAGGGCGGCACCGCCAGCATTGTCTCGCTTGCATAGGATTGTGTCGCCGCAGTCCCGCCCTGCGGTCGAGTTTCTCTGTTGCCGGTGCAGTATCACATGCCTGCCGCCGTCAGCAACCACAAAGCCCGCCCCTGTGCCTACCCGCGAACAAGAAACAAACTCAAATTCAGTTAGTAGCCTGTGCCGGGGAACTCAGCTGAAATCGCCGGGCGCGACAGGGTCCGATACCTGCCAGTCACACTCGCGAGTTCAAGTGGCAAAACCAAGGTGATACAGATGACTTTGTGGATTGGAACATATGTCAATTTGGTGCTTGGGAGTAGCCCTGTCATCTACGCCACCCTTTTTGCTTTCCCCTCTTTTTCTTCTTACCTTTCCACCAACTAACCCCTAACCCTTGAGTTCCCTCCCGCCAACTCGCCGAATGTGCACCAGCTTTGTATATTCCGGTTCAAATACAAATTTCACTGCAGGCAAGCACGTGCAGCAAAACCACCAAGGTAGACACGCTTTTTACTTGCGCTTCCACAGCTTACTGCTTGAAGTGTACACACAGGATTGGTATACAGAATAAATGCGTATGTCGAGCACTGAAGTGATGTCGTTGCTGCACCTGGGTATTGTAGAGACGCAGCCAAAACAGAACGGGACCGGAGCGAGTCAGTGCTTCATCAAATAAACAAGGAGAGTTGATTTTGAACAACACCTTGGGCTCCCGGGGCAAACGCCACCTCCAGAGGAGGCGTATGACACAAAAAAAAACAAAGGATTTGGTAACCGGAGGGAGGGATGTGGGTGGTAGTGGGGACAGGTCACCCCCTTCAACTCAAAAGTAGGGGGCGGGGTGCATGGAAATGTCCATTCCGGCCTGTCGAGATTTCATTCTGGGGTATCTAGAGTCCCTTCTGACCAAAAAGGGCAACTCTGAGGCTGAAGATGGCCCATTCTTGCCTGTAGAGGCCCATTCTGATCTGTAGACAGCCCACCATTAACTGTGGCGAGCCCATTCTGACCCGTAGACGGCCCAGTCTGACCTTTTGAGAGGTCGTTCAGACCTTTATGGAGGGCGTTCAGACCTTAAGACGGTCTTTTCTGGCCTGTAGGTGGCGCATTATGGCATGCAAATTCATTATGACCTGTGCAAGGTTCATTATTCATTTCGAGAGTGCTACTTTGAGAGTTCAGAGATTAACCAGATTCTGCGTTGTAGAGGACCAATCCTGCCAGAAGGCACTCTTTATCTAACCTTAGAAAGCCCATTTTGGCATCTTGGAGCTCCCCCAACCTGGACATAGCTCACACCCCCACCCTCACCCAAATCTCGCTTGGGTCCATCGCCATCAATTCATGCATGGCATGATCAACCCAGCGCTAGGTAGTGCACCACAGGGCTGGACTGGGGCTGCCCCAGGCATAGTACCACAGGGCTGGAGCTGCGTCTTCAGCTGGGCGTGGGCCAGGGACTGCACCTGGGCCCGGACCCAGGCATGAGCCAGGGGCGGCAGAATTGGGGAAGGCAATGTCCATTTACTTCATGGTAAAACCGGGCAACATTTTAACATGGCGGCAGTACACATTACGACGGGGGCAAATTATGTCGGCCCGCCCAAGTTCCGCGAGTCTTTCACTCAGATCTTAAGCCGGGTCCACACATACTCGAGGCTCACGTGTCACTCTATTATCCAAGAACCGCATACCCGCCTCATGACCTGACACGCACTCGACCCCGTTCCTCGCGCGGGCTGACCTCGCTACAGGTCATGCCGCGCTTAGCCCACCCGGAACCCACCAATCATCACGCTACACGTTTCGCGTGACGGTTGTGTTTTAACCAATTAGAGGCCGGCTCCGGTCGCGCCAGGGCCAACTCGAGCGACGACGCTTATGCAGCGGCATTTGTTGATGTATGCGAGCGTTGCGGTGTGTACATTTGGTATTTCGCGCGCAGGTAAGAAGCTTTATGACACTTTCTTGCAAGATGTTGAAATTTCATAGTTGCTGGAATAAATGCACCGTCTCCTTGGCGTCCTCTCCATATCCTTTGCCACTAGTCTCAAGGGCTTGGCCGTAATCTTGTAATTTTGTGACGTCACCGCACAATCAGCTGGAAGGGTCAGCGAACTGCACTATTACCAGCTGATCGTTCCACCGACGATTTATACGATTACCCTGAATCCATAAGCCCGGCCGTGGAGACCATGTGGGTGGTGGGGTCTAATGCAAAGCGGAATTTTTGGCAGTATGTGGGACATAGACCCATACGAAGGTTGTAGAAGAATTTATGAATGTCTGAAAAATGTACTTACAGCAATATCGTATTGCTAGATGGGTAATTTGGCTGATACGGACCGTTTTTTTCTCAGTGCGAGACCCGCGTCGTTGCTACACAAAACACGCAGTTGAGCAAAAAAGGGATACTGCCAAGTGACCCTCCGATTAAATGAATATGACTGAAAGAAGGCTTTTTTCGATAAGCGCTCAATCAGCAATAAATGGAAAATCTTTAACCTGAATATGGATTATTGGATGGATGTGGATGTATTTTTTGGCTTAAGTTGAATTCTGAACTAGGTCATCTGAATTGTGATGGATTTAAGATTGAATGGACCGATAAAATTGGACTTTTCTAGAGACAAAGTGTTTAAAGCTGATTTCTTACAGGCATGTTCCTTGGAAGTCAAATGCATTGACTGCATGTTTTGGCAGGTGTGCAATTGACTAGTTAGGGCTTACAGCTGGCAGATATTTTTGCTTATTTTGGAGGATATTGACAATGGGTATGCCAGTTTTTTTACTGGAAAATGGGACATATTGAGATGATTGTTAGCTGAATACCAACAGCAAATATCTTGATATATTACAATATGATTTGAGTCTTGAGGCCATGAAATGTGTATAGTCCCCTTGCAAACTGCTCACTTTTGGGGCTTAACTGTCCCTCATTATGCCAGGGCCCAGACATCTTTCATGTGAGTGTAATGTCACTGAGAGGAAGTTTGCATTTGTGGGGAAAAGTCATCCAGAACAGGATTTAAAACAACTGGATTTTACTTTTGAAAATAGTCTTGGTAACAAAATGTAAAAATCTATGCTACAACAAAATGCTACAAGTTACAGGGCATATGGCAGCATTGAGAAACCGGCTCAGTGTGTAGTTTGAAGATTGAAAGTACACATTAATGCTTGGCAAAAGATTATACCTTTGCTTTGAGAATATGAATGGGGTTATGGCATATGCATGGGATAAGGCCTCAATCAAATGTGGTCTTTCCAGCTCCAGCTGCATATGATGGATGACCTTGATTTGCAACTGAAAGCTGAAGTTGAGGATGGTTCTTACCCATCTGAAAATGAATATGCTCAAGCAGGTTTTACCCCTGCAGGTGAGGATGAATGTGTATGCATGTGTGTATATGGACATGCATGTAGTGCATCAATGTACATCAATTGTGCATCAATTGTCCACCAATCAGTGTGTGCTGGCTTCCCCACTTGTTGGATAGGAGCAGAGGACACCAAACTCTTTAATATTCAGCCTGGCCCGCTCTTACTTTAATGCCTGTTCTTACCCCCTTATATTCAGCCTGGCTGCACTTACTTTAATGAGCTGTTCTTACCCCCTTATCCTGTGATTGTTAGTGCAGTGACTGGAAAATGTGTTTTTTTTTTGCATGACCTACCATCATATGCAGGAAGACACAAATTTGTGGTATGTGCAGAGGGCATGCTATATTTATCCACACCACCCATTGCAGGTAATGATCCAGACATCAAGCCAGACCTGTTAATTCTGTCATCGCCTGGGAACAATCCTCTGAAGATTGCCAGCGGTCCGTCCATGTCCACATTGGGTATGATTGTGAAGAACTGTGTTTGATATGTTGCAGTGAATATGTTTTAGTGCATTCCACTTATGTTTACCACAGTTGCTTACCACCTCCTGACATCATAACAATATCAATAGACTGTGGCACAGAGGTCATTTCTGCTCTAGAGTTGCATGTTTGTATGGAATTTGGTGAATCATAGGCTGTGCTGCCTTTTAGTTAATCATCCATGATTTTTCTCTCAGTCCACGTTATCCCTCGCCTTGCTTGAGCATTTGCTCAGGCTTAACTTTCTATCGCATTCCAAAGACAATGACCTGCCTCATGTCTGGTCATCAGTGGGTCGGATTTGGCGTGGTTAGAGCGATGGTGGTGTAGGGCCCGCAGCTCTGGACCTGGCGGTTCCAGGTTCGTGCTCCGGCTTCATCACCACCGCATTCCACATGGAGCCCAACAAAGACATCCCGTCTCAAAATGAAAAAAAGACATCCCCTGGCAGTGGCTGAGACGTGAAGTCACAATCATCGCTATCTGGAGTTATGTCAGTTATCTTTTTGCACCACGTGAGGATTTTTCAGACCACCTAGGCATCGCGCGGTGCTGCAGGTACCATAGGCAGATCCTGGATCTGGCGTAGGCAGAAGTTCGCCATCCTGGTGATTTTCGCGACGGATGGTGAAATATCTTTAATCACACTCCTTCTGATGAGATTCCTTGTCTACCGCTTAATGGCTGGGGATGAACATGGTCTCTGAAGGACCATCGTGACTCACAGCTAACCGCATCATCATTATTTGCTAGGATGCTTGGATTCTGCCAACACTTGAGATTTTTGGCGCCATGCTATTGCCTGAAGTGGAGGACCCAATATTGCTAATTGCTTTGGAATGGTCAGAAGCAAAATAATTTACGCGATTAATAATGATACGCGCATCCACTGGCGGCTCTTGAAAAACCCGATTCACATCGTTTTTGTGAAATTCAGCTCGCTTGTATTTTTCTGTACTCTGCTTTGGATACTCTTCCTCTCCCAACTTGGTTACGCACACTCGTTCGATATATACCTGATAAATTCGATATTTTGAGGCCGCCTTGCGAGCGCTGACTCCCACCTTGTGTGCATGTTCCCGTCACCCACCAGCTGCTATGTGGACGGGAATTCGGCCGCTTCCATGCTGTACCCCGTGGAGACTCCCTATAATGGAGTGTATCAGGACTGGTTCCTCGGCTCGCTCCCATGTACGACAGGCAGCAAACGCAAGTAGAAAATACCAGAGAACGCCAAAAATACATTGCTCGTTCGCACGCCTGCGTTTTCAACATGACATGACCAGCTAACGGAACCGACATGCCAGAGATGACATGCTTAAACGCATAATGCTTTGTCACCTTCAGTCCTACCAAAAATTCAGTGGTTGCGGGAAAAATGTTATACGCTTGTGCGCAATATGCTGACCGATCCTCATAGGTGTATGGGTACCGATGATGCTGTGGTGAAGCTCCTAGACAGGCAACGACGCGTAGCCTCGCAAAGCGTCGCAAAGCCCCAATGACGGATCAAATCGGCTGGCTGGCTAGCTGGCTGGCTGGCAGACCGGCTGGCTGGCTGGCTGATTGAGTGGTGAAAGAGGACCAGTCAGCTATCTGGAGACCATGTGGCACATGGTGAAGCCTCGCGTCGGGAGACCGGCTGGTGGGCTAGCTGGCTTTTTGATTGAGTGGCAAAAGAGGCCCGCCAGCTGTCTGGGGACTGACCGAGCAAAAAAAGAAGGCTAACGGAGTGAAGTCCACACCGACAGTTTACGAAGCATCTACGAACATGCATCCTATACACGCGTATGTGGACCCTTCGGCGCCTATATACTCAAAAGGACATTGGATTGGCTTGCTCTTTGGGGCATATGTTGTATGCCTGCAGGCGACGTTGTGTTCCAGTCGGCTGATGACTTAGGCCATTTCTACGTGCATGCACATTGCCTCCTGTGTCATGCACTTTGTGAAGTGCCCTTTGTTCCATGTCACTTTCGTCTGGTGCCTGAACGGAGCACGGCTCTTCAAATGCGCTCCTGGCTCGGTTAACGTTTGGCAGATGTCTCCGGTGTTTTTTTGTGTCCCACTGCTTTTCCTCCGAAGTGACAGGAGTGATTAATTGGGCAGGGAACCGTGGGAGAGACCCACCCACAAGCCTTGGGGGGGGGGGGGGGACAGGTGTTTAGGTGGCGAGGCGAGGATCAATGGACCCCAAATTGTGATGGATTTAAACATTGCCCGGATGTGCGCTGTGATGTGAGAGCAGAGGTTTCCGCTTCCCATATAGCTGTTGTGGTACTGGCCTGTTACGATTTGGATTGATCGCCAGTTTTGCAAGGCTGTCGAGCATGATTTGATAACGCAAAAATGGTTTAAGTTCCTGGTTTTCCCCTCTATAATGAGGTATTGTATCGAAGGCAACCGTCCGGTATCATGCCATTAAGTACCGAATTACCATTTCGTACACATGCAGTATTTGAAATTATTGCATGATATCTTCGCTCGGCCAGACGGTGCTGGCCTCCGTATTAAGGTTTCAAAGTCGGTTACATGTAATCTGAGACGTATAACGTCTGCTATATCTGGCCCGAGAGGTACCCTGTTGGGAACTACTGTCGTTGGCTTATGTGGGGAGTCAAATATTCATGCCTCACCCACTTAAATTGTTTGTATTGTCACCTTTGACTTTGTGGATGTGTTCTACAACGAATCATCTATACCCCCGCCTTGCAGGTAATGCTGCGGATGTTCCGCCGGACCCTCTGGCGCTGTCGCCTTCACAAAGGGATTTCTTGAGCACCACGTGCGACATGGAGCTCAGCACTCTCGGTACGATTCATAGCAGCTCCACGCAGTCGGCAGTATAAGCAAGCATCAGTAAAGTCACGGACAGCCACCCTGCCCGCGCTTTGTTATGCTGCGGCAGGCGAGGTTGTAGGAGGCGAATGTGATCGGATAACCTTGTCGTGGGCAACAGGGCCCCGCGTTCCTGGGCGTGCAGACGCCTGGCGTGGTGATGACAGCCTCCTCCGAGTGCGCCGACCTGACGCGGTCATAATTTGGTTCTACCTATTGATAGCTGGCGGGATGCAAGCAAAGTCCTTGCGACCTTCTGAGGAAGGACTCCAGCTGCTGTTCGTGTTTGACTGAGCCGTGGGTTAAGTTTGCATCGTCCGTATTCCGGCCAAAGTGGTGTTAGTACCGATGAACCTGTATCATCAAAGGGGCGTCAGCGGCTTTAGACCTATATCGTCAAAACGGGTCGACATCTATGTACTGGATCGTTACCAATTGCATGTATTGATGCATCAGTGTGTCTAGGTGTGGTATTTTTGGACGTGATATTCCGACCAGGACTTATTCTCGGCACCGTTTTACAGGTGATGTTACTGATGGCAACCCTCATCCGTTGCTGACGTTGCTGACTGCGAATAACGATGATTTGAAAAGCGACAGTGGCCCCGGGTCCTGCAAAATGGGTACGAATAATACGGTAGGAGTTTATTTTTGGTTGTGGTGTCGTAGCACTTGCCATGCTGACAAGTATTGCCATTCCAAAGGTTTCAATGCTGCACACCGTATCAAGCGTGTTCACTGGTAAATGTTTGAGTAGTAGCCGCGGGCTGGTGGCCCAAGGCTTAAATGGAGTGTTTTACATTTTAATTGAATAGTCATCGTAAAGATCATTCGATGCGGTTCACATCCCTTCCCTTGAGGCCTTAATCCTTCCATCATCTGAGCTACGCGTCTGCGAAGATGTGCAGACTATTTTGGATAGACTTTCAAAGTCACCCAGACATCCACTACGTCATCATAACGCCTGCCGTTCCATCGGCCATGTGGAAACCAGGGCAAAAAATGTGATTGTCGAGTCCTTCATATTTGGCGTCCGTGACTACAATTTCCACATATAGCGGCCTTCAATTGCCTCTCAATCTTGCGCAAGATCGATAATGTAATCAATGACATAGTGAGGAGCATATTCACTAAACAGAGAAAGAATATCCAGAACAGCCTTTTCCGCTTGAATAGATATTTCACATTTTGAGATACTGAAGCAAGCATGAGATATGATGGAACGGCCTCACTTAAGACTATTAGTATACTTTTAGGCAGAGAGGAGCGTTCTAGACAACTTGAGTTTTCAGTGTAGTGAAGATGCTTTCCAAAGCGTCATTGTTTGATCACGTCCCTGTACCTTACATGCACCTTGATTGGGAGCCAGTTGACGGCTATTTTGTCTGGAAATCGTGCTTATGAACACCGGATGTTAACGACTCAACCATTTTATTTTTCTTATCCCTAATTGCCGCTTGGCTTATGGAATGGTAGGATTTGAATGACATGATTATGACGTCATGAATGCCAAGGCGACTTTGAAATACTCTCTCCGATAAAGCTTTCCCCATTTTCGCGGGAATGTAGCGCAGAAACTTGAGGGGTTTAGGCGTTAAAAAGGGCAGGGCAGTGAACTGCTCCGAACGACGTTCAAGATGGCTTTGTCAGCTCTAAATCCCATTCAAATGTGGAACACTCCTTCTAAAAGTATACCAATAGCTCAAAGTGAGCTCATCTCATGTCTGATGCTTGCTTCAATATCTTGAAACGTGGAATATTCCCTACAAAGGGAGTGTTCCACATTTGTTCCACATTGCGGTTTTAAACCGAACCAACCATCTTCAAGATCATTCGGTGCAGTTCACAGCCCGGCCCTTCGTAAGACTTCAACCCCTGCAGTTTCTGAGCTGTACGTCTGCTAAGATTTGCAGACTATTTCGGGGAGATCACTTTAAGGTCAGCCGGGAATCCATGACGCAGTAATAACGCCATATAAATTCTGTCATCCCATAAGTCATGCGGTGATTGCGCTCAAGCAAAACATAATTGTTGAGTCGTTCAGATTTGTGAGCACGATTTGCGGCTATAACGACCCTCAATTGGCTCCCAATAAATTTTGTGCCAGGTACGATGACAAGCAATGACACCTTAGGGAGCATATTTACTAAACAGAGAAATGGTGTCTTTAAAACAGCCTTTTGCACTTAAGAATATACGAATCGTGATATAGGAGCTTATTTTATCATAGCTGGTGATGGTTTTAGTATCTTTGTCGTGAAACATTTCGTTAAACACGCGCCTTAGTGGCCGGTTGGATACCCTTCGCTCGGGTGTGACGGGGTCAATTTGGCTCCCCCACTAAGATGTCAGGAACTGAGAGGACCAGAGACATTGCATTCACAGGATGTGTTCCTAGGTCATGACCTTCGGGCCAAATAAGGTCAAACAAGGTCAAACACCAAATTGGTCGCCAAAGTCTCCCCAGAACCCAGGTACCTGTTCTAAACAAGAGGTCACATGCCCATTCAGGGTCACTGACCTTGTGTGGCCTTTCTAGGTTATGGTGACGAAAATCATAGAAGACCGCTTTGAGTTTTGCATTTGAATACGCCACAAAGATTAAGCAAGGTAGTATGCTTCTAAAAATGGCATGTTGATCTGTGTCATTTTAGGTCAGTGATCTGCTCGAACCTAAAGAGGTTCATGGGAGATTCAGATGCGGCTCATCAGTAAATTCGAAATGAGCACCAGAAACTGCCTCAGACAGGAAGTCCTAGAGTAAAGAACAGGTTGGTTTTGACCTTGGTATGGCCTTCATATCTGACGTTAGGTCAACGGAATTTGGTCATTCAGTTGTTGTTTAAGAAAGTATCTGAGAGATGTATGGCTTTGTCTAACACTCCGTTGTTCCATCAGATTGAACGATTCCGTTAAAATTGATCGCTGAATCCATGACTTGACTTTGACCTGCCGTAGGTCAGCGACGTGACAAGGCACATGCAATTCTTTGGTAACACACGATTCGCTATCTAACTGTCTACAGCTGTGCAAAATTTAGCGCGGCTACGCCTTGCAATTTAGAAGCCGTTGCGGAAACCCCTGGGGAGTGTCAATTTGGCCCCATCCGAGCGCGTCAACACGCGCCCGGGTGGCTGACTGGATACCCCTCGCCCAGGTAAGGGGGTCAATTTACCCCCCCCCCCCCCCTGCCTGGATCTGGGGAACTAAGAAGGCTAGAGACACCAAATTTACAGGGTGTGTTGACCGGTGCGTCAACACACCCTGTACGTGAACTTGCTTAGGTCAAAGTTTCAGGTTCCCAGGTCATAACCTTCGGGTCAAATAAAGTCAAACAAGGTCAAATTCTAGGTTGGTCTCCAAAGTGCCCCCAGAACCTAGATAACCGTTTCCAAGCAAAAGGTCACATGGTCATTTAGGTTCAGTGACCTTGTTTAACCTTTTGAAGGTCATGGTGGCCAAAATCATGCAAGATTGCCCTGAGTTTTGTTTTTTTCAATGAGCGACAAAGATTTTGTCAGGCGGTATGTTCCTAAAAAAGATAACCTGGGTTATTTTAGGTCAATAACCTACTCTGACCTCTAAGAAGTCCATGGAAGATGTATAATGCGGTTCTTGCTATCTACCTTGGTCTGACTTTCATACCTGACCTTAGGTCAATGTAATTTGCTCATTCAGCAGTTGTGTTGCCTACGAAAGCATCTCAGAGATGTATGGCTTCGTGCAACACTCCGTTGTTGCATCAGATTGAACGGTTCCCCAGAAATTTACTTCGCTGAAACCATGGCCTGACTGGCCTGCCATAGGTCAACGACCTTACAAGGTACATCTAAATGTGTTGTGCCAAACGATCCTTTATTTCATTGTCATCAGCTATGCAAAATTTGGCGCGGCTACGCTCCGCCGTTCCGAAACCATTCTGGAAAAATCTTCGGGGGTCAATTTGACACCCCTTCCCCACCCGAGCGCGTGTTAAAGGGAATGTTCAGCACTTGTATGGTTTTAACTATTCGGTGCAGCTCACAGCACTGCCTTTTGTGAGACTTAAGCCCTCTGGTTTGTGAGCTACTCGCCTTTAAGATGTGCAGACTGTTTCGTGCAGACTATTACGGCCATATCACCCCACAGGACGTACGACGTTCAAGGCTCGGAATAATTTTATCGTTGAGCTGCCCAGATATGACACCCGGGAGCACAATAGCACTCTCGCTGACGTCAGTGGGCCCTCAATATTGAGTAAGCTGTGAAAATTTCAATCACGAATCACGTCTGGTGTTACATAATATGATAAGTTGGGCATGGCTGCTAGTTATTGCATAAATCAGATTTGTCATAGAATAACTCTAGAATAGCGCCATAGCCAAATATGTAAAAGTACAAGTAGACATAAGCTCGCGAATGAATATGCGAGAGCACCACGAGAAAGGGCCGAAACGCAACACCTTACGATATTGCGCTCAGCAAACACTGGGCACTCCCATCTTCCAACGAGTTTGAAGTACTACAAGTGAACTGTAAGGTGGCGACTTCGCACGGCTAGTTTGGCAGCACCTCAAAATTATGCGAACATTTTGTGACGTACTCAAACAGCGACGTTTTGAGGAGGATATTAGCTAAATCAATAAATTTGTGGTCTAGAGTAGCGCTTTTTGATTACAAGCATGCCAAGTATTTGTAAATTACCTATGTTATCATGTCTGATGCTGGCCTCAATGTCTTCATTTGTAAAAATATTCCGTTTAAAGGGCAGTGCAGATGTTGGAGCAAGGATAAGATATGACGAAATAAACTCACTTATAACTATTGGTATGCCCTTAAGTGGAGAAGGTTGCTCTAGACAACACAAGGTGTGTTCAGTTTAGTAACTATATTACAATACGTCATTTTTTGCGTCATCCTACCTTGCACAACAGTGGTTCAGAGCTAGTTGGCGTCCTTTGTATCTGGAAATCGTGCTCGAGCACGCCAGATATGAACGACTCGACAATTGTATTTTCGTGGCACTCACCGCCACATGGCCAATGGAATGACAGAATTCGAATGGCGTTATCGTGGCATCGTGGATTCCTGGGTGACCTTGTCGTTGTTATGGCGTCGTAGATGCCTGGATGACTGGAGTAGTCTTCTCGAGCTAGGCTGCACAACTTCACGGGTGTGTAGCTCAGATGTGTAGCTCAGGAACTGGAGGAGTTGAGGTCTCAAGAAGGGCAGGCTGCGGACTGCACCGAATAATTTCAATATGGTCGCATCGGCCCAAAACGACATGCAAATGTGCAACACTCCCTTTAACTTTGACGATGGCTGCAGCTACTGACATTTTGCTTGTCATCTGTGTCGGTGCTGAGGGGAGAGGTCCCAAACCTACCGAGCACTGACCACTCAATGTCGGGTTCTACAGCACCACTTGCCGACTACCCAGCTACCTACAAGAGGTGCCGTAGTTGGCTACCTGAAGTGGCTGGAGAAAAACCAAGAACCCGTATCTCGGAGGCCGCCAAAGCCGCGTCTTTTCAAAAAGGTGGCTGCAGATGTCAGCGAAATGTGGGCTGAGCATGGCATACCTGTCCATGAACTACATTACGTGACAAAACGCGTAAAACTCGAATGTTACGGATTCTTCAAAACGGCTAAGAAAGCTCCAAGGAAGATGAGATACACTGGCGACAGATATGACGTGTATTTCAGGAAACTTTTTGACATCGCGAGGTGTAAATGTCGCGCTCTTGGCTCGTGTGGGTGTCCTCTCGCCTGCAGAGTCCCGGAGGAGAAGTGGGACTTGCTCAAGGACCAGCGGGGTATGAGAGCCATGACTCTGGGACCTTAGGCTTCTGAGACAACTGCCACAAGACAGCCCCGAAGTGGAACACCAAGAAGCCCTGTGCCTCGAGGAGCCTACTGAGACTAGCAGCCAGTGGCCTACTATTGGTGAAACCAAGGGTGGGAGCAATGGTTTCAGTTCTTGACACCGTTGACTGCTTTTGAAGCACTGGGAGAAGGAAGCAAACGTAAATAACTAGATGAATTGGAGATGCTTCCTGGAAGGTTGCTGGTGCCTGGGTGCGATGGAAAGTGCGCTGAACACAGGGGCTTGCAGCAGAGCGTCCCGTTCGTGCGCGTTTGTCGCCGACGGTGCCGCCGGCTGGCCCATCGCCAGCCTCACGGCAGCGATCCCAACCCTGGGACATGTGTCGGAAGCTGTGGAGGGGGACACCGACGAGCCACGGAGCTTCTCGAGCTTCCACGCATGGGCTGCGCCACAGGCATGTGGACAATGAAGGTAGTGAAGCTTGAGACCGTACAAGAGAACGTGAGAGACGTCCTGGATGCGATGGTGCAGCAACTCAACCACAGTCAGGAAGCTCTCTGCCGGCTGGCTTGGGCTGCGCAGAGCAGACCTAATGCGCTCCAGGCAGCTCGTAGCCGAATAAACAAGCTTTACCACGTGAGGTAAGTGACATAATACACAAAAGTCCTGTCATTGCATGCTGGGTTTATCCTGCTGAGTACTTGTTATATTAGCTGAGTGATGCAATAGGGATTAAATACCCAGTTGTTGAAGTTACGCATGCTTCACGCTGCACCAGCAGACACGTATTTGCGTTATACTTAAGTTATAATTGTAAAACATTGTCAGCATGCATGGTCGCATGTTGAGCATGCATGGTCGCATGTTGAGCATGCATGGTCGCATGTTGAGCGGGCATGCATGGTCGCGTGCTCAACGGGGATGAATGGCGTAGGCAGGCCGTCACCGTCTGTCGCGCGGGAGGCTGCTCTGTTCTGTATGCGCGGAATACGCGGCAGAGGCTGTTCTGTTCTGCACGCGCAGGATTCGCAGCAGAGGCTGCTCTGCTCTGCACGCGCAGGATTCGCGGCAGAGGCTGCTCTGTTTCGCACGCGCAGGACTCGTTGGAGAGGCTGCTCTGCTCTGCCTGTGCAGGATGGCTCTGGGATGAGAGTTAGTTTCTTGTGTGGTGGAACGAGAGGCTACATCAACCATGAACCGCGAGACCCTGCGAATAAGGGGGAAAGGGAAGTTCTCTTTCAACGGCATGCATCGAGCTGTAACCCGTAAAAGGACCCTGTGCTTTCAGGTGCGTCCTCCGCCAATGGCCCGCTGCTGTGCCGACTGTTCAGATCAAGACAGTCGGATGAAGCTCCAGGCCCGCCGCCAATATCTGAATACCTGAAGCATCAGGGAGCTCGCGTGTGAAGTTCGTGGCCGGTGGCTCCGCGGCACCGGGCAGTTGAAAGTCGAGTCTCGAAGCCATGCTTGCGAAGACCACATAAATGCAGTGTTTGTGGCAGATGCTATGGTGCAAAAGTTGGCATGAACGTTCACGACTGTACTCACTCAGGGGGAAGCTCTGTAGGTGTGAGGCTTGTGACATGTTTTGCCAAAGCTCTGCGTTAGTGACGTACGTCCGAACCCACACATGTGAAGAGCTGTTTCGCTGCGATGTGTGGGAAGTCGTTCAACTTCAGACACACACGCACACCCTTGGGTTGAACGTTCTGAGGCAATCTGGTGTGAATGCATTATATTGGGATGTATCCGGTGAGTCTTTTGGTGGAACGCGTATTTTGGCCAACCTCCGTCGCACCCACGCCGTTGAGAAGTCGCTCAGCTGTGAAATTCTGCCGAAAATCGTTCAGTGTTCGCTCAGACCTGCTGTGGGCATGATCGGTTAGGCCATCGTGCTCACTCCAGTGAAAGCCGTTCAGTTCCGGCGGTCTTTGGTTCGCTCGAAGTCAATACAAGTCAATACAAGTTCCGGAACTAATGACCTGTGATTGGAGCAAAGCGTGGGATCAGTTGTGCTTCATATTTCTGCAACATGCGCACGCCTGGTTCGGCTTACCGAGGATAAAATGAAAATTTCAGTTGCTTGCTGTGGTTTAGTTTTTTTTGTCAGAATACTTCTCTACGCTGTTATAGTTCTGGAAAGCTTTCGTCTCAAAGTGTGGGTTGTTGGACGTGACCGCCACCTGTTGGCCCTTTTTGGAAGCATAATTTCATTTCGTAGCATTGCAGTGTGATCGTCGGGCAAACTGATAATTATGAATAGTTTTGAAACATAGAATTTCTAGAAGATGCTTGGAGGAGTTTTGGAGCATTCCATTTCTGGAAGGTGCTCTCGACAATGGAAGGCTAGCTTTCTCTACGTGGATAGGCACAACGCATCTTCCTAAAATGTGAACGCAAGTCAGCAAGCCATCACTTTAACTTTTGAGTGACGGAAGTGTGTTGCCTAGCCCTATGACAGCACAGTATAATGCCTTGTTCTTGATAAGTCCACAACATTCACGTGATAAATATTATCACACCACGGTCCCTTTGTAAGGGAGCGGAGATATTCTCTGGCGGTGGAGACTGTTGAACCAGAGGACCGGGGACCAGGTTCGCAACGCTCGGTGGCATAACCTGAGCCCTCGTGAGCGGTGGGTCAAGTAGTGTGTGGGAGAAAAGAAAGGCACTTGTGTTAAACCTGATCTTCGTTTCGCCCTGACTGGCGTGGATGCGTCGCTCTGTTTCACAGTAACCCGCGATAATGATCATGTGCTGGCTGTCAGCTACTCGCTCAGACAGCAGGGCCGACAACTCTTCTAGGCTTGGCTTGGCAGGGCGCGCTAAGGTCACTTAGCCTTGACCTTAGCCTTGACCTCCGAGCGTGTGTGAGGGTCTTGAGAAAAAAGCCGCCGAACGAGGGATGGAGGAGGGGGCGACCTAACGTTGCACATCCTACGGGATACCACGGATTACTAACTATGGAATGCGATAATAGCGCCTTGAGTGTTGCCGCTGCTGGGATAATCGTGTTAATTGATTGACGGAGTTGTCTGTCCGGACTTTCTGCCAGGGCTGGAAGACCGTGCCCTGTTATTCGAATATTGGTGGCGCCAACAAGTAGCTTAAGGCCCTGGTGAGAAGGGTAGTTGTATCCGTCCTCATATAATACGTAACAGTACATATGGCATTTTCGGCATTCTACCTGTGAGAGGAAACGCTTCAACGTCGAACTGCAATGTTGATGAAAGGTCAAGACCGATTCCTGGTGGCACCCCTCCTGAGTCGACTTCGGACGGAAGGGCGGGGGTGGGCGCAAAGGTGGAAATTTCTAGTGCGAATCGTGGAAATTTTGAGTGCGAATGAGTCAAATCCAAGTTGTGTTGTGTTATGCCTGCCATCACTGTCCAATCAACAAACCTACCGAGGATAATGATGTTTTGCATGCCATCAGACAATGGCATTGTGCCCACCATTGATACAACGTCCGGGGCAGCGTTACGAATCGCCTGTCGTAAGCAACCCTCCGTCCAAAAATCAAAATGAGCAAAAAAAGGGATGTAACCGGAGACCGACAAGAACTGTGAATAGTTACGGAGTACCACGCAGAGTCATCCCAAGCAGCACTGACATGCAGGAACAGGTGTGCGCCTCCGGGAGTCGACCCCAGCAGCACTGGTGGGCAGGGATACTCCTCCGGGGGTCGCCCCGAGCAGCACTAATGGGCAGGGGTACCCCTCCGGGAATCGCTCCGAACAACACTAATGGGCAGGGATACTCCTTCGGGAGTCGCCCCGAACAACACTAATGGGCAGGGATACTCTTCCGGGAATCGCTCCGAGCAGCACTAATGGGCAGGGATACACGGGATGAACAAGCTACCGATTTACGGGATGTGATCGGCGACACACATGGACACTTTTGGGGGCGCCGATGGTGTAGCAGTTAGTGCGCCCATGTTGACCACTGCATGTCTGAAAAACCGGAAGTATGGTGTGTGCATCACATGATATCGATGTCAGGGCTACAGCACTGCAGGCAATGACAAATCGACAACACAGTATTCACATCCTCAACAGTCCTTGGCAGGATTGGGTGCGAGATTCATCACAGTCTTCACAGTATACCGTGCTTTGATATTAATAATCTCCCTACAAGCTGGCGATCGCCGCGTTGCGTCTGTCAACCAGCCCACCAAACCCTCTTACGACCAGTACCAAGACAAAAAACCCACAAACGAGCCATTCACAGGCCGGCCGCCCAACACAGCGCCCGTGACGGGAATGGCTTGTTGGCGTCAGCTTTCGTGCGTTTCTAGGTATTCTTTAGGTCTGGCTGCCAGATGCTGCCAGGTATTGCTGCCGTCACAAAACTATTCCATTACGCCATCAAGCAATGCGTAGTGGGGCGCATTTTTACAAGCTTTGAAATTTGGCTACTTAGGGCGGTTTTTGACCCTTGAAAGCTTACCAATAGTTACAAGTAAGCTTTTCCCGTCATATCTGATGCTTATCTCATTATATTCAAATGTGGAACATAGGTGGATCCAGGGGGGGGGGGGGGCACGGGGCCATGGCCCCCAAAACCTCTGAGAGTATGTTTTAGCCCCCGCCCCCAAAAAACATTCCCAGAACTTCATAAAAGTTTCATCTACTTACCGTCTGTTTTAACTTTAACTCTTCTGTTTTGCTTTGACTTCAGTTTAAGATTCAAAAGCATTTCGGTGCTTTTTTCGGCTTTGAGTGGTGTCCCTACTAGGTATTCGCGAAAGGCACCATGCACTGGACCTCGGATCCCACACCAGCCAGCTGGCGAAGAACGGCTGCCCCCCATCCCCCCAAAAAAAACAACTTCAGGCTAGATCCGCCCCTGATGTGAAACATTCTCTTGAAGTGCCATCCAACAAACCAACAGCAATACTTTTCCACCTTTCCCTGCACCCAGCATCTCATCCAAATTGCAGTGACTAAAAATACAGATGTTGAACAAAATGAGCACATAGGAAAAACAGATGACGACAGCTGCCCAAGCTTTTTACCGATCCTTCAAGGCCGCTCACAGCACTACTTGATATGTCATTGATGCAATTTATCTGAAGGCATGCCATTGATGACTCACAAGCAATGCTTGCCTGCACACGGAATTTGTTGAGACAGTAGTCTGTGTATCCATAATAAAACAACATGACATTTTCAGAATTCACAGAGCAAAGACAATTTTGCAAAGCCACGTCATGCAACCAACGCCACTGCAGCTTCATGGTAACTGCAAGCGCGGCCAACGATTTTCTTGTGTTTAAGACTGCTGGTACACAGGCCCAATCTTTTTGCATTTTGTTCCAGGTGTTGCTCCGGATCAAGTATGCATGCAAGGGTATAATTTTCTCAAATGGGTTTGGGGGCTGAGCCAATAAAGTTGACCTAACCTACCCTCAAACCCTGGTTTCTCTCTGGATTTCGGTTACTTTGATTGCCGTCCCCGATGTCAAAGTCCACTTAAAAAATATTTGGGTAGTTCCAAACTTGCTTTCATGCTGAGGAATCACCTACGTTTTGAAGCCGATGTCACATTGATAATGATGATATATGAAGACCATGAAATAGTGTTGCAGTTTAGGACCTACTATACCAACAGCTCAGCCACTAGCTGCGTTTCATTGGGCCAGTGTTTCCTTTTCCGCTTAGACCCATTGGAGACGGTGGGTTTATTAGAGCATTGGAAGTGCTTAAAGGGAGTGCCCCACATTTGTATGGGGTCTTGAACTGAAAAAGCCATTTGGAAAATCATTTGTTGCGGTTCACAGCTCTGCCTTTCTTAAAGGAAATGTTCCAAATCTGAAGGTATGAAAGCAAGCATTAGGTATGATGAAATAAGTTTACCTATAACTATTTGCATATTTTTAAGTGAAAAACATTGTTCAGCCAATACAGTTTCTCTGTGTAGTGAATATGCTGCTCAATACGTCCTTGTTTAATTATATTATCGTGCCCTGCACAACATTGATTGAGGGCCTATCGTCGGCCGTCATGTGTGGAAATCGTGCTTAAGAACGCCAGATATAAACTACTCTACAATGATGATTTTCTTGGTCTGGATCGCCGCATAGGCAGTGGACTGACAAGATTGATGTCAGTCAGCATAAAAAGTCAAGGTCCTCTGTCAGGCACTGTTGGCTCCGGACCAACACAGAGGCCTCATTGTTCCAGGGATTCCGCTCCAGACCAAGGCAACTCGCAGGTCCAAGCCTTTTCCTTGCTTGAGAACCGGGCGGCCAGAACTTAGACCGCCGTGGAACCAACCGTTTGTTGTTGTTGGCTTCTGACCGAAATAGAGGCCCGCATTGGTCTAGGGTGTCCCCAAACGGTGCAAGAGACTCTCCGACTGACATTTGACGGAGCGGCCCTGCAGACCAGGGAGCCTACCATGACTCGTAGCCAGTCCCTCGTACCTTCCAATCATGCACTGATCAGAGACCCCTTTGCGGTCCCACTCGAGAGCTGCCCGAGGCCGATTCTGGGTCCCATATCGGCACGGGGGCCCCTGTATCGTCCCAGGACCCCGACCGATACAAATCGTGGGCCCTGGCATTGTTTCTGCTTGGGAAATGCGCTCCGAATTTCAGATCTGACGCTTGAGTAATGTGGTGGCCAATCTCGCGCGCGTCACGGTTGTTAAGCCTCCACCACAGGAGTGTATTTTCGCAAAAGAGGCTGGGGGCTGAGCGGGTAACATTAGCCTGAAATATGCAAAAATATTGTTTCTTCCCGGATTTGATCCACTTTTCTCTCAACGTAGTCGCCAATCGAATGCACTGCAACACTGCTCTAATAAGTTTCCTCGCTCTACCCCGGCAGAAGATGTCCTCGCTGAGCTCATTATCATTTTGTTTGGCGTCGATCGTCGAAGCAATCTCTCGGCAATCGGTGCAGGGTCGATGTTACATGGTCCCAGATGTTGTGGGACGCGTACGGCTTTGGGAGTGAAGACAGTAAGCTGGTGTGCGCGACTA